AATCGGGTGACCGAGAGTATAAAACTTGATATGGAGAACACTGATCCAGTACAGGAGTAATCTGACGATTTATGAGGTAAACAACCGTGTGAACTGCCTCCGCCCAATAGCCACTCGGAACTTGAGAATGAAACAATAGAGCACGTGTAAGTTCCAGAACATGCCGGTGTTTACGCTCTACCAAACCGTTTTGCTGCGAAACACCCGGGCACGAGAGTTGGGAAATAATGCCCTCTGACTTGTAAAAGTGCAGCAACTCATGTTTCATGAATTCGCCACCCTCATCCGACCTAAGAACTTTGATTGTTTTGCCAAATTGTGTTTTGATAAGCTGCACAAATTCTTTAGCAATAGAACACAATTCAGACTTCTGCCGAAGGAAGTATACCCAAGCATATCTCGTCTTGTGATCAATAAACAAGGCGAAATATTTGAAACCCAAACGTGAAGTGACTGGCGAAGGACCCCACAAGTCTGTATGAACTAGATCAAAGGGTTCAGCATACACAGCCTCACTAGGCGAAAAAGAACTCTGAGAAGCCTTAGCTTTAATACAGCTAAGACAATCAGAACGAGTTCCAAAAGACGAATCAACCTTGCCAGGCAATAAATTCCGACGAAACATAGTTAAAAATCTTGCAGAATGTAAATGGCCCAACCGATAGTGCCATAAATCCCAAACAGCCTTGTTCTTTAAACTAACAGAACGAACAGAATTGGCAGACATAGAATCGAGAAAAGAACTACTAGTCTTAGCGCCAGGAACGAGCGAGGTATACTCCTTCTGCTCACGAGCAGCACCATGAATCGTAGGGAGATCGCCTAGCTCATCCAACACAAAGACCCGCCCTTGTTTTCTTCCTGTCCCGATCACCATCCCCGTCTTCTGGTCCTGTACCACACAACCGGCGGAATCAAACTTAACATCACAGCCATGTTCAGTCAACTGCCCGACAGACACAAGATTAGGTAGTAAACTCGGAACATATAAGGTGTGCGGAAGAGTGATCAAGCCTGTCGAAGAAGTACCCCTACCAACCGCTGCAACCTGATCCCCATTGGCGACACGCAGATGTATATTCGAGACAGGCTCGATCTTATCAAAAGAACTACGAACATGTGTCATGTGATTAAACGCACCTGAATCTAATAACCATTTTGAAGACTTACAGGAGAGAGCACCCGAGGCAAAAGCTGAAGTGAGAGCTTGCGGTAAAGCCTCTTGTAGGGCTTCATGAACTAGTTTGCGAACAAACTCCGGTGAGAAGGCCGAACTTCCACCACCCGAACGCGGAACTCCGGGCGCCATTTCCGGAGAGTCAGCAACAGTATATGCAGCGCCTGAGGGTTTATATGAGGCTCGGCCTGTGGAATAGGAGCCAGTAGTCGAGCCAGTCGAAGAACCATAGTTAGGAAAGCGAACCTTCCCTCGCTTAACCAATGGAGGGCACTCGAGAACAATGTGACCCTCCTTCTTACAATAATTGCAAAAGTTTCGTTTCTTGCAATGTATCTGAACATGTCCATGTTCATGACAATGATGGCAAATTAACTCACCACCAGATGGAGTGCCAAATCGTGGACGCTGAGAAGCTCCAGCGCGGCCAACTGCGAACGCCGAATCCGAGGGTTGATTGTCGATACGGGACTGACTTTTCAGTCTTGTTTCCTCACGTATGAGGTCAGCCACCACTGCATCCAGATCAGAAATCCCCCGATGAATTAAGGAGGCGCGGATTGGCTCGAATTCAGCCCGCAATTTCATGAGAAATTGCATCACTCGAGACCGTGATCGTTCCTTCTGCACTTCAGCGGAAGCATCGCCAGACAACAATGAAGCTGTGACCAAGTCATACTCGGTCCATAGGTGAAGAGCATGTTTGTAATAGCCTCGTACGTCGCGATCACCCTGAGATAAACCAGCCAATTCCAATTCAAGTTCATAGAGCCGAGAGGGGTCAGCTTGAGAGTATGTACCACATATATGTTTCCACATCTCATGAGCCGTGCGGAAACGTCGGAGACTAAGCGCTGTTTGTACATCCACAGACCCCAATAACCAAGTAATTATGCGAGCATTAGAGGCTGCCCAGTCGGTCCTCTCCTTCTCGCTAGCCTCCGCAGCTGGCTGCTTCAATTCGCTTGTCAACACAGACGATAACCTTTGTCCTTCTACAAAGTTTCTGAAGTGAAACTCCCATAGTGGAAAATTCTTTCCATCGAACTTAACCGAGACGACATCCATCTTGGTAGAATCCATACTTACTTAGCTTGAACAAAGAGCACAGTCGGAACAAGGAAACAGACCTGACGATACACCTGACGTCGACGGAAAGGTTGTACACAACTGCTGAATAACAAGACTGCACACCGCCACCACCGAAGAACAAATCCCTAGCCAACAACAGAAAACGAAGCCCTATTCAACCGATGCAGCAAACCAACCAAAGCAATACCAGTCCTTGAATCAGAGAGGCTCTGATACCATGTCAAAATCAAAGAAAAGAACAAGAACACCGAGTTTAACGTGGTTTCCCTGATCAACAGGACTAGTCCACGGGAGAGGCAGAGCTCTCCAAGTCAATCTTATTGTCTTGTTACCCAGTACATACGAGATACATGAATATATATACAGCTCTACGAAACCCTAATGACTAAGGTCTTTTAAGTACAATTACAATTAGATACTTATATTTTCAACACCCACAGGGAAGCTGATGGCTGTTAGCCGGAGAGCCCTCACCGTGGAAAGTTCCCCTGAGTCAGACCAAAGGGAAAACTTGTTTCACTCGAGGTGTGAGGTTGACGGCAATCTTTTGTCGTTAATTGTTGACGGCGGCAGCTGTGCCAATGTTGTGAGCCAGGAAGTGGTGAAGAAGCTTGGCCTGAGTACAATTAAACACCCAGAGCCATACAAGCTTCACTGGCTCAACGACTACGGCGCAATTCGCTTGACGAAGCAAGCCAAGCTGAACTTTTCAATCGGAGGCTACCAGGACGAGTTATTATTTGACGTCGCTCCGATGCAAGCTGCTCACGTGTTGCTAGGTAGGCCCTGGAAATTCGATAGGGGTGTCTTTCATTACGGTGACACCAACCGATACAGGGTTCGGCACAAAGGAAAGAAGTTCTTGCTGGAACCATTATCGCCAGTCAAAGTTCGAGAAGATCGGCGACAGATGGAGTCGAGTCGACGGCGGTTGAAGGGCCAAATTGATGAATCAACATCAGAGGAAGCTAAGGAAATCAATGGAGTGGCTCGGCGATTGATGCTCACGGGCTACAAGCGGCAGAAGATGTCTCGACCTCGCCGGAGTTGTGCAAAGCCACCGAAGCAGAGCAAGAGAGAGGGTGTATTGGGTGGAGCTCCGGGGAGCAATCCGACCCAACCCAAGCAGCTCGACCTATTCCCTATCACACTAGGAAGCTTTTACATTCATCAAATTGAGTTGATTCCACCTGTTTTGCAGAATCAAAATCGAGCAAGAGAGTCCCTGCCCACGCAGCTCCAAGGCGCACAATCGAGTGAGTTGGGGGGAATGGTTGGGGAAGAATCGACACCACGGCCCCATGCCGAACCATTGCAATCATGTCTAGGAAGCTCTAAGATCGATCCAATTGATCCGGCAACAGCTGGAAAGAAAATCCCCAAATTGAAATCGAAATTTCTGGGCACAACCTTTTTGAAACTCGGCGAAGGCGGGAAAAGAAGGGACGAAGAATCGACACTCCTGGGCAAGAGTCGAGGGCGGACACCAGTGCAGAACTTCAATTCGGAGCTTGGTGAACCTATTGGTGCCCAGGAATTGAGTTTTCGATCCCTGAATAAGGAAGCCCCAATTCAGCAAGTGAAGAACAGTGACCTATTTTTCCAGAACGACCAGTTTGACACAGTAACTTTCGATCCCATTTGGAGCCAATTTTGTGCAGATTTCGAGAAGAGAAGAGAACTAGCTTTGAGGGCAAAGCTTTTTGAAGAGGGGGAGCCTGATACGAGCATGGATTGCCTCTTAATCAAGTTAGAAATACTTGCCAATGAAACCAACTCAAAACAACATTCAACTATGGATTTTTGGCTAAGGCATGGTACCGTTTTTGGTAGCCTACTTTGTAAGACTCTTCCTCTCAAGTGGCTCGTTGAAAATGGGAGTACAAGGCCTCATCTTGAACTCCAAGTGTTGCTGAACATGCTGGTGTGCTTTGAAGCTCGAAGGGAAGCCGGGAAGCACAGTTTCAAGGCCCGACAAGATGGTAGCTCAATGCTGGAAAAATGGCAGGAATTGCCTAAGTATCAAACTGTGAGCAGCATAGCTACTTTGAAGGCTCACTCCGGGAAGATGGTGCCGAATCAAGAGAGAAGCTTCAGGCCACATGAAACTACATATTTCCATGTTGTGCTAGTATTAGGACTGTTTTGGGTTTCCTTGTTTCTCTCGACTTTCCTTGTTTCAGGTTTATTGTTAGTTCTATTTAAACTCAAAAGGGGACTTGTAATCGTGGATAGCAATGAATTGAAGTTTTAACTCTAAAAACTAAGTTTCAACAGCTTGTTTTTGGTTGAGAGCTTGGCCGAGACAACCAAGCTCGATTGAAGCCCTTGTATCGGTCAAAAACCACATTGATCGTGGGCGGGCATCGACATATAGTTGCTGAGCCTTCCTCCAGGTGAAGGATTGCACACAACTTCCACCCAACCTTGTTCTTCCTCATCGGCAGAACACCAAATCCAGTTCCGACGAGCTCAACGCAAGGGAAGAGCTTGACTTGTAGCTCTTATTGTCGAAAAATCAAATTAAAACCTACTTGAGGGTTGTTCGATTGCAAATTTGCAACTCAATCAAATCAACTATAGTGTATAGAGAGATGGGAGAAATGCTTCATTTAGAAAACATATATAGCCGATTCAAACATATAATATAACTCTGATAGACTAGGAGACTTTAAAAGAAATAAGAGCGGTGTCCTTGCACAACATATATAGATGGTTAATTGGCTTATACTTATTTGCCTCGTGATGGAAGCCAACAATCATAACTTCCATTATACGGATTTCGCAACATCTCGTAGCTTGCAATCAAACTAGGCCAAAATGCGAATCTGGGTTGGAACATCTTGTCATCTCGAGAAGAGAAGAATTGTGCCTCTTTATTATGATGTGCGACGAATTCTAACTCGCCGTTTCTTAAATTCCACGACAAAATAGTGGATTTTCGATAATTAAGATGATAATCCAACAAAAACACGATTTCCGACTTCCGAGGATGTAGACCAACCGCGATTTCGAACCTCAAGTTGTTAGACCATGGCTGTGGCCACAGGGCTTCGTACTGTTGGCTCCAACATCCTCCTCCCTTTTCGTCCTCCATTAATCTCCAAACACTCAACACAGCAGAATACGATTTCCTGCAAACTATGTGCACAGCACCTTCTGAGACCCAAGGACCGTAGCAAGTGGATTCCGAATCGAGCTTGCAGCCCTCTAATAATATTGGAAATCCATAGTCCAGCTGGCAGAAAGGATCCCATTTTACAACTCCTCCTTTGTCATTCAGCCAGTACAACTTCCCATTGGTTGAAACTACACGACGATGATGATCATCATTCGTCCAACACCTCAAATCGGGCTCGAGACGAAGGACGGATTTCGTCCATCGTCCGGATCTCGAACAAAACATGTACACATCCACTTTTGCTGCACCTCGTCGCATCGGATTATACATTCGCACCACCCGAAATCCACAAGGGACGTGGGAGGAGTCAAATAACGGTTCGCGGACTAATAATTTCACGATCCATCTATAGCGACTAGGCCATGCGGCCATTTTAGGGGCCAAAGGAAGGGCGGCCCATTGCTTCGTAAACGGATTGCAGACCAAGTGCGTCCTGCGCAGTTCCTGCTCGGTCGGGTCCTTCCCCCAGAACCCGAGTAAGAGCAAGTCGTTGACCGAATCGAGGACGGAGAACTCGAATTCGGTCCCGTCGGGGAAAGGGAGGAAGCTCGAGATCAGTGGACGGACTTGCGAGGGAGTCAGGACAGGATGTTCGAATTCGTCTGCCGCGGCGGCGGCGGCGGCGGGGGAGAGGCTCTGGTGGTGAGAAACGAAGCGGCGAGAGAAGTAGGGAGCGGAGATTAGTGCGTTCCAGCGTCTGCAGACGGATTTGCATCGGAAGGCGGATTTAGGGCCCGGGAGTCGAATCAGAATTTCGACGAGGAGATCGTCGTCGTCTCCGAGGGTGCTGATGATGGAGGAAGGCCGGGAAGCAGTTAGTCTTTTGCTGCTATGGTTGTCGGTGGCCATGATCCGGCGAGCTCAATTGGGAGAGAAGAATACAGAGAGGCGGAGAAAACCCTAATCCTTTTTTGCGTTCTCCTAATCGAAATATATGTCGTGCATGCATTAGGCGTAGCTACGTAATTGGCTGCTATTTATATTGGGCCCGGGCCCAACATCCTAGTCATAATGGAAAACCACATTCTAGTCATAGTGGAAAACGAAAAGAATTCAACCCGTTTGTTGATGGAATTGTTGAAGCGAATCAATTTTCTCTGTAAATATTAAATAATGTTATTTTTGGCTGATAAGGCGGGTTGGATCGTGCTCTTATTAAGTAGAAAACTTAAGAAATTTTTTTAATTTGTTTCGGCTAATAAGAAAATGAGAGAGAAGGGATAAGTCTATCCCTAAAAAATGGCAATTAATATATTATTAACAAACATTTCATGTAATTAAAAAATGAAAAATGTACACTCTCCTCACAAAAAAAAAAAGTACACTCTCGCTCTCTCTATGGCAACTTGCAATATTATTATTAATGTTTTGCAATAAAATTATCAATGTCTATGAAATGAAGTATTATTGATATACTCCACTATCATTAAAGATTTTAATATTCTTATCTATGCTTTATGATTACATGATTAGCGATTTTAGATAAATTGTTAACAATTTACAGTTTTTTCATCCGTGTTTATGAATGAATTATTAAAGTTAATGATACATCATAATTAACGGTTTGAGTAACACTGTTATTGATTCACAATATCTATATTAACGATCCATATTTTCATGTCATGCTCATAATACTAGCCAATCATGACCTCTTACAATGACTTCAATGACATTATTAACATTTTGTGATCAATTGATATCGCTTTACATCGTTGTTCTCAACGTTCATAAAAATGCAACACTTATTTTCACCATCATTGATATTTGTGACATATTGCACCTATGATTTAGCCAAGAAAAACAAGTTCATGGAGATGAAAAATATTAGTCAAGCAACCCAACATTCACTCCCTAACACCAAATCGTTAATAACAACAAAGCATATCGGCAAAACAATATTGTATTTCGTTCAAAACAAATATAAAATATGAATAATATTCCAACTCAATGTTAAGTATCAAATACTATTCAAAACGTTCATATGAATGTTTTATTTCATTCAAAACTAAAACAAAAAGTCACTGATAGGATTTGAAAGGGAAGGAAATTTGATTAAATTAGCTTCGTGGGAGAGGGAAAACAAAGATACTCGAAGGAATAATGGTTTTGAGTAGGGGTGGCTATACGGTCCGGTCCGGTTAAATTGACCCAAATTGATTCGGTCCAGTCCGGTTTTTTTGAAAATATAAGGACCAAAGATTGGATTGGATACAGTCCGGTCTTGACCCGGTCCGGTCCCAATTCGGTCTTGATTTTATATTGAGATTGTGGAAATTTGAGTGGCCTAAGGCCTAAAAGGGTGAGGAGTTGGTTAAGTTTTGTACTAAGTGCAAAGGTTTGTAACCGTTTATGCAAATTACCCTTAAGTTTTGGGTGTTAAGCTCTCTTATCCGGTCTTTATCCAGTTTTTTACCTCAAATCTAAGCCCAAAAATTGGATTGGAATGTTTACTATCCGGTCCCGGTCCGGTCTCGGTCCGGGTTATACCGTCCGGTTTCCGGTTTTTCATCCGGTCCCGGTCCAAATAGCCAGCCCTAGTTTTGAGGGAGTAACACAAACAAAGAGGTTTGAAAATTCGCCTTTGTTCTTTTTTTTTTATATTATATTGGTGACATAGATTAAATAAAAAGCCCATCAATTTACAAAGAAAAAACAAACAAAAGGAAACAAAAAGCAAGAAACAGGGGAAAACAAACAGTGGGACAAGTTTCAGCACCACTCTCATGTACCTGGGGGGAAAAAACAGAGGAAGATGCGCGCGGATAAAGGTAAACAAAATGGCTACGCCAGCCCATCGCTTTATCCCCCCGCTACCCATTCGATTGTCTCTTCGTTCTTACAACTCCAATAGACAGACAACAGAGAGACTAGAAACCAACAAGGTTCATCGTCAAGAGGGCATATCATCCGGATGAAGCTTCATTGTTGCCACTCAAACGTCTTCTTACTTTTGTTAAACATTCTTCAGCTATTTGTCTCTCCACCTTGTCCGCGGCTATCAACCATTCTCCTTTGTTCTTAAGTTCATAGTTAAAAAAAGAGAAGATTCAACCTAAATCTGCTTTGATAGAAGGTGGAAGGGAGAAAGCTGCCCGAAGAAGAGGATGAAAAAGTCCAAGAACCCTAGGAAGTAAGCAAGAGAAGGAGAATTAGCCCAAATCTCAAATGTCTTGTTTTTGCCTGTGTACATGGAGCCATGTTTACTCCGTATGAGGATACAAGAATAACAGGTCCGATTTATTGAAACTAGCTAACTATTACATGATAAGATTTACAGGACAAGTTCTACTTATAAAATATGTATTAAATATTCTCACGGACTTAGGGGTCGGGACCCACACTAGCTATAATGTAGCCCCGGCCTAGACGGCAAGGAGGCAGATTGCCAGCCCTAATCAAGTGGAAAATAAATGGGCGACTAACTGGGGTCTATATTCCCATCGCGCCTGGTAGTTGCTCAATCGCAAATTTTTAATGGCAGTGAATATAAATTTGCATGGTATATGTTCTGTTCGAGATCGGGGCGATGAATAAGATTGGTAATCCATCTTTTATGACGTTTTAGGGTATGATATGCAGTATCTTTTAGTTTCAACCACTGGGAAGTAGGAATGGCAATGGGGCAGGTCCGGGGTGGGTTTCTTGGTACCCAGACCCGCCCCGTGGCAGGTCGGGTCTAGGTCGGGTAATTTATCACAGGTCATGGGTCGGGGCAGGTCGACCCAATGGGTAAGTAATTTATATGAAAAATATTAGAAATGTTCGTTATTTTTATTATAATACCATGGAAACAAACAATATTATGATAAATATAGTTAAATTATTGGAGAAATTGAGGTTTTCACTAATTTACAACTTTATTATAGCTAAAATTTGATGTAATAAAAGGAAAATCCTAAATAATTTGACTAAAATTACGTACAATTTAGGCAAGAACGGGTCGAGAATGTGGCGGGTCAGGATAAATCGGGTCGATGAGAGTGCTCATGCCCGTCCCGTTCCTTCCCACCATAATCGTTTAAGTAAGCTTCCCATGTTTTTGTGGATCTATCTCCAATGTTTTAAGACTTAAAGAGGATTCAGTAAGGATCAAATAATAGCTAGAGAAATAGGTATCAACTATGGAATCGCAGAACCGAATTGCATCAAAAGAAAAAACCTGTAAACACAATTGTTGAGCTCAGTCACGAATCACCTAATTATTCTGCACTTTTCCGTTTCAATTTGTTTATTTCTCAGAAACCAAATTCTCGTGCTTGGTTGTAGATCAGATCGGTGTACAAGCCCGATTGTGCTCTCTAAGAGTAAAACAAAAAACAGAAACGAAAACTAGAAGTTGAAGTTGTAATCATGGGGGGGAAATCTCTGACATTATTCTGCGGACGGCCACTGATAACAGGCTTCGTTCCATCTTCTCCCAAGCATATCTGCAAACGAAACAAACAAAGCTGCTGATCAGTAATCAAGTCAAACCACGTTAGTTTTAGCAGGAAATGGGAACTCTGTACCCACTCGACTAGTTAGCGGCGCAGCCAATTGGAGGGAGTTTGCAGAGTGAAGGAAGGCGAGCAGTGATCTGCAGAGTGCTGCACATGCAGTCTTGCTGGACGGACTGGAGCGCCGAGCAACATTCCGAGCTGGGAGCCGCGGCGCCGGGCAGGACGAACGGCGCGCAGACGTTGAGGTTGCTGAGCTGGACTGGACACGCCTGCTGCGCCTGAGCCACCGCCACCACCAGAGCTACGACGATCGCTAGAAGGAGTGTTGTGGCGGCAGAGTGCTTGGAAAACGCCATAGTGAAAAAAACAGAGCTACTCTGTTTTTTTTTTTTCCTCCCCCCCACGAAACCTTCTTACTCTGTTTCGTAGTTGTTTTGGGATGGTTTGATTAGCAGTGTGATCTCATGGGTTGAAATTGTGTGTCGATTTATAGTTGTTTCTGGGAATCAAGTGAAGCTGGGACTTGCATGATCTACCTAATTGTTGGATCGAGGTTAGTTGCAGGGGATCATCTGAAAATTGTTGATCTAACTAATCTTCCTCCACTTTGCTAGAGTTTTTTTAGCTCTGTAGATGGCAAAATTATTGAACCAACTTGGTTGAATATTCACAGTGTACCAATCTGCCACAACCTGTAACCTATGATTATCCAATTTGCTGCCACAAACTGGCTAGACCCAATTTGTCACTTGCTGCGCGAATAAGCTGTAGCATTAATAACAAGCCAGAACTTTGCAGCACAAGACCATAATCTCATATTTCACCAGACGTTCCACATTCCTCATTTTATCTCGAAATGGTTGATTAATACATCGTTCCCTCCAAATATGGCTCATCATAGATTGCCAGATGAGATTATCAATCCCAAAATCAAAGCTTTTCTTCCCCAAGTGTTGAGCTGTCCAGGTAATGTCCTAATAGCCTCTTGAAGATATCTTTGAAATGCAAGCATGAAGCAAAAATATGATCTATGCTTTAAGACTCCTGGTTACACAAACCACATTCATCTGAACCAACATACCCCTATTTCTTCATCTTGTTCTTTGTTTGAATGTTATCTTTTGTAAAAAAACCAAACCAACAATATTTTTCGTGGGATGGAAGGACTCTTCCATAAATCCATCACTCACTACTAACCAATACTACTAGGATAAGAGCAAAATTTTCATCATCAAGCTTAAATATTTGTAATCTTCATCAAACTTAGGGACACAAACTTTGGTGAAACTACGATTTTCACTATTAATGCCAAAAAAATCCAAACACAACATATGCCTCACAATTACTCTCGTGTTTCTTAACTCATAAAGCGTATCTGTTTCACTCATTTCTCCTACACAACTCTTTGTATTGTTTGTTTATAGTATGCAGATAAGCTATAATACCACGATGAAATCTTTTTAAAAAATCATTGGAAAAACGATAATTTTATTAATTTGACAAAAGTGAAGGATAAATAGTTAAATGCCTGAAAGTCGGCCAACAAGCTTGATAGTTGAGCAACAACCAGAAATAGGGATGACATTGATGAGTCGGATCACGTACAATATTGATTATCCATACCCCTCTCCTAAATAGTTAGGGTTTTATCCATACTCATATCCGTGCAAGACTCGAGTAGAAAATTAAAACCATATTCATGCCCTATCGAATTTCGGGTATCCATGGATAATATTTTTCCTTTATCTTTCCAACTATTGTGTTAATAATAACAAATATATTAACATTACAAAAGCAAAAAAATATATAAATAACAAATCACTAATGCTAAGAGAAATAATGTAAAAAGGAACGGGTGAATTACACGATTGGTCACCCAAATTACATAAATATTTCACGTTTGCCACCCGAATTACAAACCTTGCTTATTGGTCACTCACTTTACGAAACATTTCACCGTAACCACTGGACGTCAGCCTCCGTCAGACTCCGTTAACGGCGTCAGATTTTTGATGACGTGGCAAACGGAAACTCTGACTGGGCCGACAGAAAGGCTGAATCAGCCTGAATACCCGAGCCAGCAAAGCACCCGACCCGAAAAAGGACGGAGCCCATTATTTTTTACTTTGCTTTAATTAATTTTTTTTACTTTGAAGAAGCTGATTCCCCTTCTTCTTTCCTCTGGTCGTGCGTTTCTTCTTCCCCCTTTCTTTTACGAATCCCTCGCCAGATTGACAATGGAGGAGAATCAAACTCTCCCTCCTTTAGGGTTTCCAGCGAAGCCCAGAAGATCAATCGGAGCTTTGCGGATGACGATTGTTCCGACTCTTTCTACCCTGAGACTCAGCAGATATGGGAGAAGCTCCAGAGATCAGGCGGCGACGGAAGGAGCAACATCGACCGGCGTTTGTCGAGGAGCAGGACGAAGAAGAAGAACCAGGTCCTGCTCGAAGGGTATGTCGATTTGAGCAGAACCAGCAGCAGTGGCGTCGCCGATGACGATTTGAAGAGCTCCGATTGATCTTCTGGGCTTCGCTGGAAACCCTAAAGGAGGGACAGTTTGATTCTCCTCCATCGTCATCCGCAGCCATGATGTTCCAAACAGAATGTTGAGGTGGTGGGTTCTTCTTCTGGTTTCCATTTCGGCCGGCCGACCTCCTTGCACGCTCTGCTGGAGTGAAAAGAAAGGGGGAAGAAGAAACGCACGACCAGAGGAAAGAAGAAGGGGAATCAGCTTCTTCAAAGTAAAAAAAATTAATTAAAGCAAAGTAAAAAATAATGGGCTTGTCCTTTTCGGGTCAGGTGCTTTGCTGGCTCGGGTATTCAGGCTGATTCAGCCTTTCTGTCGGTCCAGTTAGAGTTTCCGTTTGCCACGTCATCAAAAATCTGACGCCGTTAACGGAGTCTGACGGAGGCTGACGTCCAGTGGTTATGGTGAAATGTTTTGTAAAGTGAGTGACCAATAAGCAAGGTTTGTAATTCGGGTGGCAAACGTGAAATATTTATGTAATTTGGGTGACCAATCGTGTAATTCACCCAAAAAGGAACACTAGTTTATGAGATGCTACAAATATACTAGTAACAACGTATATGTTAAAATAAAAAGTAATGATTTATACAAAATATTTTATATGTATGTATAGTCGGGTGGGATAGTAAGAAAAACATACCCACCCACTATCTGTGATATTCAGGTTAGGATTTTATCCATACCACGGGCTATTTTATTTTGATAGGGTTTTACCCTACCAAATCGGGTCAGGTTCGGACGGATATTAGGAATTATCGATATTGTTGTCATCCCTAACTAATTCCAACATGACTAAAATGACACTTGTCACAAACTCAAAGGACTAGAGATTAATTAACACAAACGGTCACATTCAAATTTAAACACTGGCACCAGAATTGCTCCACCCGGGATTTGAGTCTTCGTTTCAACATCACATGCTCTGTTTTCCGACCACAAGTAGCAAAGGTTTATCCTTCTGCAAAGTAAGTCCAAACTTCTCTGCCATATCCAATTCCACCGGATCATCGTCGTCCGGAAGAGTCCAATCAAACCCTTTAATCAACGAAGCTAGAATCAACGGCAATTGCTTAACTGCCATTGGTAGTCCGGGGCATACCCTCCGACCCGACCCGAACGGTAGAAGCTCAAAGTGAAGACCCTTGAAGTCTGCCACGGTCGATCCATTGTGAACAAACCGCTCGGGTTTGAACGACAACGGGTCCTCCCAAACGGATGGATCCCGCCCTATCGCCCACACGTTCACCATCACCTGGGAATCTTTCGGTATTCTGTAATTCATTATTTCGCAAGTCTCCTGAGCGCAGTGTGGGATTAGGAACGGTGCTGCCGGATGTAACCGGAATGTCTCTTTGATGCAGGCGTTTAGAAATGTCAATTGAGAGACGTTCGCTTCAGTAATGGAGTTTCCTCCAATTTCTCTTTTCAGCTCTTCGCGAACTTTCATCATTTCTTCCCCGTTCTTCAGAAGCTCCGCCATTGCCCATTCCACTGTAGTTGTAATGGTGTCTGTTCCCGCTGTCAGCAATTCCTGTAGAATTTTGGAACGGAATAACCAAAAAACACAGAATAAGAAGAAAAAAGCAGAGTCAGCGAAAAACAGAGTTAGGAAAAAACAGAGTAAGAAAGCATTTGAGTGGAAATAGTTCTTACCAAGAACAACCAATTGATTTTGAGATCGTCGAACCCATTTGAAATGAAAACGTCCAAGAAATCCCCTTTCGGGGCATCTCCATGGGATCTCGATTCATGAATTCCCCTTCTTTCTTTTATGTAACTCTCCCAAACAGAGAACATTTGCGTGGCAGCCTTGGCTATCTTCTTTTTCAGGCCCTGAGGGTCAAACGGTTCCAATACAGGGTAAAAATCAACAACATTCGGAGTAGCTACAAGCTCCATCATTTTCGAAATATTGCTCTTCAACCCACCAGCTTTCCCCTTCCGATCTTCCAAGACCAGCAAGTCCTCGGAGAAGAAAAGGTTGCACATCGAGTTGAAAACGGTGGTGAACACAATTTCACCCAAGTCCACAACTTTCCCTTCTCTAGCAGCCAAGAAATCGACCATTTCACCGGCTTTCCTCTCTCTGACGGCGGCCTGCGCCTCGATTGCTCTGGCGGAGAAAAGCTCCGTCCTGCAGAGAGCGCGAAGGGACTTCCAGCTGTCGTTACACGTCGTGGCGGACGCGATTGCCATTCGGTCGATGTCGCCGAGTTTGAACGGATTGGATTTGGATGCGTATCTAGCCGAGAGGGTACGATCGTGGGTTTTGAGGATTTCGGCCGCGGCTGCCGGAGAAGAGGCGACGACGATTACCTGCGCGCCTAATTTGAGTGAGATTAAGGGGCCGTGGGATTTGGCGAATTGGGACATGGTGATGTGAACTTTTCTAGTCATGTGTGGGATGTTTCCGAGGAGTGGCCATGGCTTTGGGCCTGGAGGCAGAGGGAGTTCTTTCTTCTTCTTCTTCTTCCTCTTTGAGTTGATTTGTTTGATTGAAAGGACAATCAGTAGTGATATTACAAGGACGAGAAGAAGGAGAGTTTCATACTTGGAAATTGAATGGTCCATTTGTACATTGGATACCGATTCGGATTTCAGGATATAATGGGTTTACGTTACCTATATATAGAAGAAACCTAAGAAAGAAAGTTATCGTGGCTGAAAGGGTTACGGAGAGCAGAGTTTGAGTTGTTCAAGCTTGTGTTTGATCAAACATGCATAGAGCGAGGTCTACTAGACTTTAACGTTTTTTAGGGGAGAGCTAATCAAAGGAGACTAGCATTGTATTAATCCCCCGCCAAACGTCACCGACGATTTTCTTAACTATCTTTCACGTAAGACAGAACTTGGTCATCAAATGGCATATTCCATTGTTGACTGGCAGTATGTGACACTTTAGTTACTTTTAAGGTGACATAAATATGCTATTTTAACATACTTGAATTAGAGACCTTCGGAATGAAGACCGCGATAAAATCATCACATGTTCGAGGATTTTTTCAATAATAGCACCTATTAAAAAAAATTACAAAAATAGCATCCAACCCACAAAATTTACAAAAATAGCACTATTTTTATCAAATCGCACTTTCAAGGTGCGTTTTATGTATAAACCGCACCTTGGAGGTGCGTTTTGCGCCACATCAAACTGGGAACCGCACCTCCAAGGTGCGGTTTGTGTTTCCCCGGGAGTGGCCTTGGAGACCGTAGGATCCAGCTGCGATCCAGCGGCGGACCACTTGCCACCTCAGCGATCCGCGCCATGAATCGCAGACCGCAGCGGCAGGGAGCGGTCAACGCCTCGGGAAGTGCAGACAGCATCGGAAGGGAGCGATTTCAACGTGGGCGATATTACCAGACCGCCCCTGGAGGGTGCGGTCTGAAGGGTATAAATACCCCCTCCCCCCTCTCATTTTTTCACACCACAACCATTCTCCACTCTCTCTCTCTAGAATTATCTCTCTAACCCCTCCCCTCCCCTCCCAAAAGCATAGAAAATAGTGATCTATTGGTTGCGGCTAAGTCCGATATGCCATCAGAAAACATTTCTTTGGTTTTTCCCTCAAAACCCGCCGAATTTCTATCTGACTTTCGCGAAAAAATGGACGAGTGGTTCCAAGGAGAGGAAGTTTATTATGATGAATTTCAAGCGGTACGTACTCATTATTTTGGTCAATTTTTGTTTTTGTTATAAGCTTTTTAATTAATCTATGTACTAACCTTGTTGTTATTCTCTCGTAGGTTGGGGACAACGTGAATATATACAAACCAACGGTACTATTTGTATCAAGAGCCTATTAATCCAACCGACTTGTATGACCAACCCAACCATCGTTCAATGGATGTTTGGAACGATCACCCGGTACATACAATTGTTCATCATTTATCTTTCTTTTATTTTTGGGTTAATAGCATTTTGTACCCCTCTACTATGGTAAGTTAACAAACATGCCCCTCTACTAAATTTTTGAACAAACATACCCTTCTAATATTAAAACGTAACGAGTTTGCCCTTCCATCTAATTATCTGTTATGTGACCGTTAAATGACCTGTGAAATGACCCAATTACCCCTCATTTACTCTAAACCCTCCTAATTTTGGTTTTTATCATTTTATTTCTTAATCAATTAATTAAAAAAAATCAAATCCCTAACTGATTCAAACGCACAGACAGACTCGACCGGAGACCGTCCGTCTCCCCTGAAGTTTCCCCTGCCGATTAGCCCTTGACTCGTCGGCGGCGCATGCTGCCGGCATCCCCTCGCCGGCGGCTGGAGGAGAGATAACCGATCGTAGGCAAGACCCGACGACCAGATTCCCGGATTCTCTCCGCGACATTCCGATGTCACCTGTTGCTCCCCTCGATCACACAGCAGGGGCGACCTTCCTCCGGCTTCTCACGCGACGTTCCGATGCCAGCCTGCAGAAGCTTGATCCCTCCGAGGAAAATAGTCATCCCGGGTTCGGATGGAGAGACTGTGATCGAGCATCTTGCACAAATACTTGCTTGGCCGAGATCTGATTGTCCTGATACCATTATCCTCTTGGACCCAATTGCCTAGCTTTGATTTTCAATAAGTTGTATATTAGATGCTGGGAATAAAATATACAGGCATCAAGTTTGGGTTGATTTTGTTTGCTTACTACTCAGTAATCTAGCTTTTATACGTTATCCCCTTGGACCCAGTAACCTTGCTTTGTTTGATTACTACTCTCTAGTCTCTACTCGACCGCCGGCGAGAAGATGTCGGGGCAGACGCCGCCGCCGAAGAAGGGGATTGTCTTTGTCGAGTGCACTTGTGCGTTAATTAGTTAGGGTTTTTATTTTTTGTAATTAATTGATTTGGGAATAATAAATAATTAAAACCAAAATTAGGAGTATTTAGAGTAAATGAGGGGTAATTGGGTCATTTCACAAGCCATTTAACGGTCACATAACAGATAATTAGGTGGAAGGGCATACTCGTTACATTTTAATATTAGAAGGGTATGTTTGTGCAAAAATTTAGTAGAGGGGCATGTTTGTTAACTTACTATAATAGAGGGGTACAAAATGCTATTAACCCTTTATTTTTCTATTGTACTTAGTGGAATATAAATTTAAATTTGAAATAATTTAATCGTATTGGTTGTTTTCAATAATTTAATCGAATACATAGGGCCACTTACTTCGACTCTTTATAAAGAGATGCACGTCTAAGGAAATGAGATTTTAAGCGATTATCATGATCCTCCCATTTCCTGGGAAAATCGGGTATTAAGAGATCCTCGGATCCCCCCTTTTTATGTCAAAAAGGCTGCGTTTTTAAGAAGATGTATACCTCTTCTAAGAGTCTAACAAGTGTTGCATTGTATTGGATTAAATTATTTAAAACAATCAATACGATTAAATTACTTACCAAACAACCAATACGATTTATGTTTATGTATACTTAAATGATTTTTATTAATTTCAAAATGTTTGAATATGTATGTATCTCTTTAAATTATTATTCATTTATAATGTTATTTATGTCAATTAATTTAGTATGTTCGTTTCCATGCCACGCCTTCTTATAGTTAATTACTTAATCATATAACCATAACGACTTGCAATGTCAGCGATTATGACTTTCACCTTCAGGTCAGGATCTTGCTCAATTAGATGCTTGATAGCCGCAGCAACCACCCTGGATTTCAACTGTCGATGGCCTTGGGATGTTATGGATGACACACATGTGTGTGTGTGTTCACCGCACGGGATATGACCCAATGGCCGTGTCTCTTGTTGTTGATGGCCCGAATCCTAACATCGCATCCCTCGCTATGATTACGGCATCTGACTATGAGTCTTTTCGTGTTGGAATGAGTTGTGTGACATTAAAAATGTCGAGTCATTGCTTCAGTATCAATGGCGTGCCACACCTCCTTCTTCGAGCCAAATTGTTGGCCCTTCATAAACCCAGTGAGTGGACCCCATATTGGAATCTCCGGGGGTTCCATGTCGCTGTCGACCATCCAATTGCTGTCTGGAATGTGATTGTAGTAGGGGACTGGTACACGGTCATGAGCCACCTCATCTTCATTATCTAAGTCTGACTCTAGTCCTGAATCATCAGCACCTTCAAGAGGGTCGGAGCTGTCTGCACTGACGTTGTTCTCTCCTTCTTCATCAGAGGGGTCACTGACTGGTGCTGGCAGGGCATCTTCCATCTGATCCAGGTCATGAAAGGTACCTTCATAAGCTCCATAATGGTAGTTGTGAAAACTACCACTGCCTGATTGGAAGTTGTACTGGGGTTGGTTGGCATGGTCCGATTGAACTTCTTCTTCATATGATGGGTAAGATTGATGATGACCTTCACCTTGCTCTTGGTACTGAAAATAGGAATGAGGATCATGGTAACTTTGGTAGGGATGATCTCCATATAATTCACCTCCACCATGGATACTAAATGTTTGACCGTCTCCAGAATGACCTCCAACGCCTACGACCGGCTCGGTGTAAACGAACATCTCGGCTCTAGAAAGATTGTTGGACCTCAAGAATTCGAGCATGGCATCTACCTCATCCTGAGTGGTTATGAGACATTCCTCGTACCACAACGACCCGCCTTCTCTGTTTGGATATCGGTACACCATACGATCAACTCTTGTCGTGTCATCCATGCAAGTAACGTTAGTACACATTTGATAGAGGTCTTCAAGCATCGGTCTGGTAGCGACCTTTATTTTCTGAAAATTGCCACCGACGTAGGTGACCCTCTTTCCGCTCTCTTCCGTGTAACCATTCCACCGTAACCCAAGCGTGAACTTTTGGAATGCCATCTGCAAAAAAATAGTAGTTCAACTAATATCATAAAAATCACAAATCATAATAAAAAGTTATACAAAATAAACTTACGGGTTAACGTTAACCGCAAAAACACTAGAGAAATAGGGAGCTACAATAGAAAATTGAAAAGGGAGAAGGAGAGGTGTGAAGAGAAGAGATTTCCCGGGCTATCTTTTATAGGCAAAATCATCAATGAAAACCGCACCTTAGAGGTGCGGTTTTCATCTGCCATGCAACCCCACGTCTGTCAATCTGCATGGCTGTATGTCTGGTGTCGGAAAATAATTGACACACAAACCGCATGGTGGGTGCGGTTTGTGTTTCCAAAACCGCACTCTGAGGGTGCGGTTTGTTTTGGAGAAGCAAAACTGCATCCCCAAAGTGCGGTTTTGATAGGTCAGGACTAGACCGCATCTGGGCCATGCAGTTTGGTTAGGTCAAACCGCTAACCGCATGGCCAAGATGCGGTTTTGGTCCAGGGGGTGCGGTTTACATGCAAAACGCACCAGGGGGTGCGGTTTTTAAAAAAGTGTGCTATTTTTGTAATTTCTACTGAATGTGAGCTATTTTTGTAATTTTTTTTAAAGGTGTTATTTCTGGAAAAATCTCACATGTTCGGGAGTGGTGAAAGTTTTGTTGTGGAATGTTAGGGGTAGTTTGCTTCGTTGATTTGAAGGTGGATTTGGCACAAATTCATGGTCATCATGGATTTAATAGAAATTCATTGTTTCCTTATCATTTTTGTTGGGATCAAATCTGTGGGCCATAAATTTTGAGCTTTTAAATTTGTGAA